TTTAGGTGATTTATTTTAGTTTGTTTGGATATTTTTGTGGGGGTTTGGTACATTTTTTTGTTTTTTTGCTGGGTCTTTGTCTTGGGGGGTTTTTTTGGGTTTTGGGGAGGGGGTTTGACCTTTGACCTCTGCCCCTCCCCCCAGGCTCCCCGATAACATCGGCTCCTTCCCTGAGGATCCTCTGGAATGGGTGAGTGGGGGGGAAAATGGGGGGAAATCACCTGAAATTGGGAAAAAAACCCCAAAAATGGGAAAAATTCCCTTTCAAAACTGGGAAAATTCTTTCCAAATGGGGGGAAATCCCTAAAAACAGTAAAATCTCCCAAAATTGGGGTAAAGTCTCTCAAAAATGGGATAAAGTCTCCCAAAAGTGGGATAAAATGCTCCAAAAATGGGAAAACTGCTCAAAAATGGGATAAAATTTCCCCAAAATGGGATAAAATTCTTCAAAAGTGAGATTAAATCGCTCAAAATGAGATAAAGTTTCTAAAAATGGTGTAAAATCCTTAAAAATGGGATAAAATCCCAAAAATGGGACAAAATCCCCCCAAAAATGGGACAAAATCCCCAAAAATGGGACAAAATCCCCAAAAATGGGATAAAATCCCTCCAAAAATGGGATAAAAATCCCCAAAATGGCACAAAACCCCCCAAAAATGGGACAAAATCCACAAAAAATGGCATAAAATCCCCCAAAAATGGGAAAAAATTACCAAGAATGGGACAAAATCCCCAAAATGGGACAAAACCTTCCCAAATGAGAAAAAGTCCCCAAAAATGGGATAAACCCCCATTAATGGGATAAAACCCTCCTAAAATGGGATAAAATCCCCAAAAATGGGATAAGACCCCCCAAAAATGGGACAAAATCTCCCAAAAAAGGGAAAAAAAAACCCAAAAATGAGACAAAATCCCCCAAAAATGGGATAAAAACTTCCAAAATGGGACAAAATCCACCCAAAATGGGATAAAATACCCCAAAAAATGGGATAAAATCCCCCAAAAATGGGATAAAGTCCCCAAAAATGGGATAAACCTCCCAAAATGGGACAAAACGCCCCCAAAATGGGACAAAACCCCCCAAAAATAGGATAAAACCCCCAAAACGGGACAAAATCCCAAAAAATGGGATAAAAACCCCAAAAATGGGACAAAATCCCCCCAAACCCCCCAAATCCCCCGTGACCCCCC